CAGACCGATGGGCAAACAGAGAGAACAATTCAGACACTTGAAGATATGCTTAGGCTATGTGTATTGGACTTCAAGGGAAGGTGGGAAGTGCATTTTCCATTGGTAGAATTTGCCTACGACAACAGTTATCAAGCTAGCCTTGGCATGGAGCCGTATGAAGCTTTGTGTGGAAGGAAGTGTAGATCGCCGATATGATAGACCGAGGTAGGAGACAAAGCTTTGATTGGTCCCGAATTGGTTCAAGTGACAACTGAAAAGATTAAACTTATCTAGAAGAGAATTAGAACTGCTCAGAGTCGATAGAAGAGTTACGCCGACCAAAGAAGAAGAGAGTTAGAATTTGAAGTTGGGGATCATGTATTCCTCAAGGTTTCGCCGATGAAAGGAGTTTCAAGATTTGGAAAGAAAGGTAAGTTAGCACCTCGTTATATCGGGCCATTTGAAGTTCTTGAAAGAGTTAACCTAGTTGCCTACAGACTTGCTTTGCCGCCAGAATTAAGTCAAGTCCACAGTGTGTTTCATATTTTGATGTTGAGGAAGTATATTCAGGATCCACTGCATGTGATTGATCATTTCGGGATTGTGATTAATGAAGATTTAGGTTATGAGGAGAAGCCGATACGGAGTCTTGATAGGCAAGTGAAATAGTTGAGGAACAAGTCGATACCAATAGTGAATGTTGAATGGAAAGAGCATTATGGCAAGGATGCTACATGGGAGATGGAAGAGGAAATGAAAATCCGACATCCGAAGTTGTTTTTGGGGCAAGATAACTTAAGTTTGGGGACCAAACTTCTTTAAGGAGGGTAGGATGTAACAACCCTCACTTTGTCCTAGACATCCTTGCATGCATTACATGATTTTGTCTTGCTAAGTTGCATTTGCAGACCTTGATTTGTTTTGTCTAAGTGTTACTTGCATGCTTGGTTCGTTGCTTGGTGTGTGTTTAGCCGAGGTCATCTTAAGCCTAGGTCACACCTTTGAACCTTTCACACCTAGGACCACCTTGGAACTACCTTGGTTGACCTCCACCTTCACCATTGCATATTGGTCGAGATGTCATCATCAAGGCCGAGGTGTGCATCACCTAGGCCGAGATCTGCATCATCTAGGCCAAGATGTTACCCCCTAGGTATCCTAGATCTTTGACCCTTGCACCTATTCATGCTCTTCGGAAAATTCCCATTTCAATAAAAATTAGCAATCTCAATTTTTCCAATAAAAGCTTGCCATCTCTTCATATTTCAAACTTCCAATTTTAATCAATAGGGGTGGTAAATACGACACTGGTAATCCCTAGGCTGGTGTCTGCAAGTAGACTCTACGAGTACTACCAAACTGTCATTTTTACCAGTATTAACCGGAAGGCTCGACGCCTATCAGCGCGGTTTTATGGTCTTTCACTAAGGACACCCAGGCCAACTTATCAAGTTCAACTACACCCCTTATACGGACTTGCCACGTATTTACGCCATGCCACATTTCCATTAACTCCATTATCAAACATGCATATATTTATTTCTTGTAATAAATCTTCCCAGTTTAAATCGCACAATTCATAGTATGCAAACCCATGCGAATGCTATGCAATGTTCTTCCAATACTCATAGCATTTCTCCATTCAAGTAACATGACAACAATATCGAATAAATACATTTCTCATTTCCTTTCTTCAATGTTATTTCACAAAATAACTCGTATGCCTTCAACTCATAGCAATTCTAATTTTCCTCATCATGAACAATTTTTAATAAGTTAGTCTATTCAAGACTACATGCTATGTTTCCCACATTAGGTCTCCAAGACCTCACAATTCCCACAATCCATGGCACATACCAATTTTCATTCCTCAATCATACATGTTCATGTATTACATGATAATTTCATAAATAATTCCTCATTGTTTATATGTCAAGAAGGTTTGCTATTCAATAAAAACACATAATAAAATTTACACTTTTTCATTCATCCTTTTAACACAAGATAATAAAGAAATTTCATACATTATTTTCATCTTCTAAAATCCCCAAATTTCTAGGGCTTTCATCAAAAACCCAACCTCCTCCCATTTCATGGTGAAACCCAATCAAAATCACCTTTTCTTGAGTTTTGTAAAAAGAACATTCTCATGGATACGAAAAAGATAGGGATCAAAACCATTTCTTCAAAACTTTCTCTACATTTGGAGTAAAATCAATATCCACCCAAAAACTACAAGAAAGCTTTTAAATCAACATATATATAGCACAACATGTATATATAACTCAAGAAATCCCTACCTCAAAGCTTGATAAAGCGAGAGAAGATGAAACCCTAGGATCAAGTGGTGAAGAAATCCAATCTCTACCGTACACAACGTAGTTCTAGCGGTGTTCTACAATGTTGATGAAGAAACCATGGACAAATCTTTGATAGATGATGGGGGATCAAGAGTTTAAATCTTCTTTTGGGGTAAAAATATAGAGAGAAGGGGGAGCGATATATTTTAGAGAGAGAGAGAGGTAATGAAAATGATATACAAACAACCCCAAAAGAAAAAAAAAATAGAGCCTCGGATCTGGGTTCCCCGGCATATGTGGAGCCTATTTCCACACGTGCGGCATGTGCCTGTCGCACGTGCGACACCTCCCCACACCACCTCACACACATGCATTTATTACAGTATGCACTGCCCAGCCACCCCTATCTCCCGTATGTGCGGCTTGACCTCCCGCACGTGCGACCCTGGGCCCAGCAGCCCCGAAAAATTCCACTTCACTCCCAGTCACTCCGGACCTGACCCCGCACTCTCCAGAACAAGTGAAATTCAGCACCAGACAAAACAAGAGCAAGAACTTTATTTAGAAAACTATTTCCAGACGTTTCGAGCCCAACGACAAGAAAGAAAAAAAAAGAAAGAAAGGTGGAGCGAAGGGAGAAAGAAATAGGAGAAAAGAAAGACCCAGTCACCACAGTTGGTTTGGAAATTGACATTTATAGTGATTTTTTAGCTTTTTACAAAGCTATGTACAAAAAATAAAAAGAATGACTTGAAAATCTATAGTAATTTTTTGACTTTTTAACAGTTTTCGAGTTCTCAATTCATGTTTTTTTTAATATTTTAATAATTTTTTTTTGTTTTTTACTTTTTAGAAGGTGCGAAATCCGTCAATTTTTTTTTTTAATTTAGTAAATACAAAAAGTTGAGTATTTTTGTATTTTTTGTATTTCTTAAAAAAAATACATTTCTTCTCAAATATTTTACATTTTAATAAATTTAGATTAGGTGCATCTAAAAAATTTAAAAAAATGATTAAAATACGAAAAAATTTTACTGAAGTCTAAAGACAACAAAATACCAAAAAACAAAAAATTAAAAAAACAAAAACAAAAACAAAAAAAGGCAACAAAACAAAACAAAACAAAATACTCAAAAATTATTTTTGAAAACTCAAAATCAAACATAAGTATCTTCTATTCTTTTGTTCAACCATGGAAATCAGATGCCCCATGGCATTAAGATCTTGCATTTGCTACACTATTTTTCTGTTTCTTTATTCCGTTTTCTAACAACTCAGCTTGTTTGGTTCTGGTTTTTAGAAAACTTCATTTTTTTATTTTTCATATTTTAATTTTTTCAAAGAATTTTTTTAATATTTTAAGCAATTTTTTTTTTAATTTGTAGACACATCTAACATAAATACACTTAAAAAGTATAATATTTGTGAAAAAAATCTTTAAAAAATACACTAAATACCAGAAAAAAATTGAAAATTCAATACGTTTTTCGTATTTTTGTATACTTATTAATTTTTTTTAAAAAAAAATTCACAAATATTTTACTATTTAGATACATCTAAGTAAGGTGCATCTAAAAAAGTAAAAAAACTGCTTAAAATTTAAAAAATATTCACTAAAAACAAACAAAAAAATGAAAAATAAAAAACTCAATTTTCAAAAAACTAAATTCGGAAAACTAAAACCAAACACACTTCCCAATAAATATTTAGACGTCTTCCTTAAGAAAATTATTTAGATATATTAATTTAGACCAAAGAATTTTCCTTTCAGCAGCCTCATTCATCACATAGACAATGGAAACATGATACTTTTTCATCTTTCTTTTTTTTTCTCCCTAGCTTCCATTCCGCGCCTAGCTGGCCAATTATTTAAATATCGATTCGTTGTAAATTTGCTTATGCTAGGTGAACCAAATTACTGATAATTATATGAATCGTATCCCGATCCCTTGCCAGACAATTAAAATAAAGAAAAGAAAAGAAAAAAAGAACAAATTTCTTTAAGAAACATAAATAGTACTTAACCTACCAAAGCAAATTGAATGATAGTACTCTTTTAACTTTCACCGGAATGAACTTAATATAGTTCTTCCAAAACTAGTATCTATCAAGATAATAGAAGTAACAATTCATAATAACTAGATTTTTATCCTAACATACACACATTTGTAGACACACACACACAAACACACAAAAAGAAGAAGAAGATCAACATTTTCACTTTACACACTTTCTTGATTTGTAGACCATACTACAGTCCTTACCTTGTTCTGTTAGTTCCTTGCCACCTTGGTTGCAATCGGTATCAGTTGAAATAACAGTAAAGACAATCCCCAACTTGTCATTCAATGCAATGGCAACCATACAAGTATCATATGTTACTATGACTGCAAACATTGCAATTTGCAATTCCAATTGCAAAAGGAATCCACTTGTGAGGCAATAGATCATTTGAAGTAAGGTAAAGAACCCAATTGAGTTGTATAGAATGAACAAACCATAAGATACCCAATTATTAGAACCCATGATTGCATGTTCTGCTTTATGTGGTTAAGAAGCATTGTCGTTTCCATTATTGTTGCTAGAAACAGAATCATCGGCCTACACACCACCTGGAGGACTATGCACGGTTTGATAAGTTGCTGTTGCGATACATATAGCTATCACAAGCATGGTGTGTCATGCTTCGCTTGGTGAATCTCTATCCATGTTGTACTTGAACTAGTCTAGCAACCGTTTAGCAGGAGATCGAGGCAAATGATTCCATGTTGATTGGTCACTTGAAGGGTTAATTGCAACAATAGCTTGATTCATTCCAGGTTGTGTTAAAGAGTGCAGCTCTTCTGCCTTCTTAACTCCGGCTTGCCTAAGGATCTCCTTGATTTCTCTATCACTTGCTTCACTTTGGGAAAAGTGTAAAACTTCAAGTGCTGTGAGACCTTCCTTGTTCCAGGAATCGATCTCTAATGCCCCCTTAGAGACAACATTTTTCTTAAGCACCAAGTCAACCACCTGCTCACAATTTTTCAATCTCACTTGTTGAAAATAAATAAATAAATAAACACAAACAAACAAACCAAGAGAAGTTACATAGTAATAGGGGTCAGGGATCTTATATCCAATGCAATCCCAATTGTATGATGTGGTGAGAGAATAATTCTAAATCGCGGTATCGGGTAACGTAACGGTATCGATCGCGGAGTATCGATATCGGTAGTATCGACTGGTATGTATCGGGTATCGGGCGTCGTGGCTGTGAAATTTCAAAAATAATTAGCAATCCCTCTAAAACTCAATTTTATGCATTTTTTGACTATTTTAGCCTTAATTTATCACATTTTAATCAAATTTTTGATATGTAGAGGCACTTAATTTTGAAATTTCAAACATACACTACTACTACTTAATTTATTGGTTTTAATAGGTCCACGAACAATGAGTCTAATAAATCAACTTAAAGGAATGAAGAAGTGAACTAAGTATGAAACATACTCTACAGGTACTACATTGCTAAGAAAAAATAATAATAATAATAATAATATATAAATATTTGAACAATCATAAATATATATATATATATATATATATTAAAATATCTCCCATCCCATACCATAATATAACCACAGAACAGTGGCTTAAATCAACTACAAAACAAAAAAAAGGAAAAAAAAAAAAAAAACAAACAAACAAACAAACAAAACAAAACAAAAAATATATATAAAATATTTGAAAAATCATATATATCTATATATTAAAATATCTCTCATCCCATACCATAATATAACCACACAACAATGGCTTAAATCAACTACAAAACAGAAAAAAATATATATATATATATAAACAATCATAAATATATATTAAAATATATCCCATTCCCATCCCATACCATAATGTAAATAATAAATTACCACAGAACAAACAGAAAAAAAAAAAATTATAACCGAACACAACAACTAGCAAAAGCATGACTTAAACCTTCAAATATATAAAACAGAGCTTGTGTATGGGTTATTCAGCCAAAAGAAAAAACAAAGCATGACAAATATATAAACAGAGCCTAAGAGAACACACCTTCAACGAAGAAGCTTGAAAGCGGTGATGGGTTTGGGTTCGATTCGAAGCTTGAAAGCTTGTTTGAGAACACACCTTTGCTCAATTATTTTGCAGGTGCTTTGCTCCATTTTTGTAGATGTACCGGTGATAGAATACATGTATCAGAACTGTATCGTTCACGTATCGGATTCAGGTCGATACGTATTGGGAATCGGCCGCTATAGAGGCGAATTTCATTCTCACCGGTATACCGGCCAATATCCGACTCGGCAGTCCAATTTTTCGGTACGAACCGGCCGGTACATGCCTTTAGAACCTTGGGTGAGAGTCATGAAATGTAGGAATCTCGAGGCACGATTGTGTAACTAAGAGTGCAAGGGTATAAAGATTTGGGAGAGGGGTGGGAAAAGGATCTTAGCCACCTCACAATTTTCCGTCTAAATTTGTTTCTCGGTTAGAAGCAAAGATAGAAAACCAAATAGAAATTGTAAGGACAAAAACAAAATTTTAAACAGAAAAGTCACAGAATAGACACGGGGTAACTTTTCATAATTTTTTTTATGTAACATTTCTCAAAATGAAAATGTGAGAAACAACATAGGTAGACCGGGTATACCTCGTATTATTTTTTCGAAACTGCAAGGTGCAAGAAAGTGTTCCCTTGGTCATCCTTCCTATTTAAGACATCCTCTTTGTTGAATTTCTTGAGATGTTCCACCAAATCTTTGAAGGCTTCAAATTGGTTGTTCTTCATAGCCAAGTGAAGAACTGTCTCTCCTCGGGCTGTCACGTCTACTACAGAATCTGCACTAGCTAAAATCAATTCTCTTATCACATCGACCCTGCCTTCGATTGTCGCGTAGTGAAGGGAAATTCTTCTTTCTCTTCTTTTAACTAGGCAGAGTTTGTGATCTGCTTTCAAAAGCTCCTTCACAATCTCAACGTGTCCATTAGCTGAGGCAATATGCAATGGACTCAAACCGTCTTCGTGGAGTTCTTGGGAAAATTCTTTCCTTAATTTCATGATCTCTTTCACAAGATTAAAGTGGCCAACCATAGAAGCAATATGTAAAGGAGTTTCTCCATTTTCTAACGCAGAAGTGTAGAGCAAACCAGGATTATCTTTAATCAATTTCAGAAAGTTTTCGACATTTCCTATCCAACAAGCCTGGAACAGCCTCCTATCCATCCTTGTGGATAAATCCCACAACTTGAAAATATATCGACCTCGGATATGCTTTTGGAGAAACAAGATTTTAAACTGCTAATGAGTAGCACTTGTTATATTTTATTTTTGAAGTTTTTTACTGTAGATTAATTTATCTAATGAAGTTTGAATTAGGACAGCATTTCAACTAATTCCCATCATTCCTTTTGTAAATATTAAAGTCCATAGTCACCCAGATGACATTGCTTCACGGAATTAAAAATAAAATAAAATAACTTGAGTTCACAAGCATAAGAATCCTTTATCTCTCTTGCCTATTGAACAATTTTTCCATAAATTACTTGGCTAGAGTAACAACTTTCTTAATAATCCAATGTAAAAAAAAAAAAAAGCACTATCCTCCTGAAAGTTTTGAGGTGTAAATTGTCCCCATACATATGGCTCTAGAACATCTGAAATTATAAGGTAAGAGTCTCTCTTCAATCACCAAACAATTCTCATTTCTTATAGGACTTTTAGTTTTGAATCCAAATCCATTAAGATAGTGTTTAAATTTAAATTTGAGTAATGATTTGTGCAGTATAAAAAAAAATTAAAAGGAATTTTTTTTCTCTTCAAATTCAAGATCTAAACATATCCTCGAAGTTTAACTTATTTCTAGTGTTAAAAAGTAGGCACAAATTAGTTCATGTGTATTTGACTAAGATTTGGAAGAAAAATTCTTACCTACCTTAAACCAAGAATTATTGGAGCATAGTCTTGATGAGTCTGCATTTTGGGATGTACACTGGTTGCTATATTAATTTGTTTTTTTTTTTTTTTTTTTCATAGATTGAAATTATAATATTAATGTGTTGAACTAGTGATTTGGGGATGTTGTTGCCTTGATTTAGTATTTGCCATGTCACATCACTAGGTCAATGATAATATTACAAATGAATATTATTTAAATTGAATATTACATTAGGAGTCATCTATTTTTCTATTTCAAACTTGTGGGAGCCGAATAATAGGAGACGTGGATAGGCCGGGTACCCATTTGGCTAATTGGTATATATTATACTCACTCCCGTCTCGTACGTTCTGGATGCCGAATAACTTAACCGGCCATAAAGATCAGTTGAGCGAGGGGCCGATTGAAAGTTGGAATACGGCAAAAAGGGGGGGGGGGCCGAGTGAACAATCACATGATGGGTCAAGAGTGGGCCCTACCCTGAGAACAAGGAGAGTATATAAATAGAAGAACAACAACCAAAGAGAGGTATGTGAGAATTAGTGCGTTTTACTTAAGATACAAGTAACAAAGAGAGCATACACTGACTTGTCTGTCGAAGTGCTAATTCTGGCACCCCTAACCGGAGTGTTCATTACTTTTCAGGTTTTTAGTTGACGATCTCGAGCGTCCCATTGGATCCATGGAGTATTTCCAAACCACTTCCCCACAATTGGCGCCGTTTGTGGGAATACTCAACTACATCTATGGTGGGCGTATGGAAGATCCTTCGATAGTCGCTGACGAAATCACACCGAGAGATGACCTCACTCCAACAAACATGCTAGGACTGGAGAATATCACCGCAAGACGTGCCTTGAACTTTGACTCAGTTGCTCATACCTCACCATTGACTTCATCATATGAGACCATGCAAGCGATTATGGAACAGGCAAAGCAAAACAAACAGAGGTTGGAAAACATGATCGCTAAGAATGAGTGTCTCCGTCAGGATTTGGCCTTGGAAGTGGCAAAGTCCAAACAAGCTGTACGCCAAGATCCGGGATGACCTCTGAGGGAAGATGGCTGACGACTTCGAGCCCGAAGACAAGAAAGTGACAGCGATTCTGACTCATTATCCCCAGAACCCAAAAAGAAGGGACGAGTCAAAACCACCAGCTCCTCCGAAGAGAGTCCACATGCACGCCATAAACGAAGACGAAATGGTTCAGATGAAGAGGACCAACATGACCCCTTTGTGCGACGGATCGTAAAGGCAGTACTACCCAAAAAGTTCAAGGCTCTATCATTCACCCTATACAACGGAAAATCAGATCCCGCTGACCACATCCATCATTATAAGCAAGCCATGACGCTGCATATAAACGATGAGGCTCTTATGTGCCGAATATTTCCAAGCAGCTTGGGACCATTGGCCGTCAGATGGTATTACAAGTTGGAACCGGCGTCAATTAAGAGCTTCCATCAATTACAGAAATCCTTTAAGGCAAGATTCATCACCAATGAGGTCCAGCCGAAGCAAGCCAACTCTCTCTGGGCAATGCAAATCCAACCAGGGGAAACCTTACGAGCGTATTCGGCACGCTATTGGGAATGTTTCAATCTTGTGGATGACGCTCGCAACGACTCCATGGCCATCACCGCCTTTAAAATGGGGATGCATCCTGATAGTGCCCTTTGCAGTTCCTTGACTAGAAGGCCTCCCAAAACAATTTGGTCGTTGATGAAGAAAGTCGAGAAATACTTCAAAATGGAAGATGACGCTCTACGGGTTAAAGACGGGAACAAGGCCAACAAGACGGCCCCTTCTGAGATTGTTCAGCCGATAAACTCTGTACCATCACGGAGCCTTGAATCACAGAGTCGGGCTAAACGAGACGAGACGAGATTCACGTCGAACAAATGACCAATGTTCCCACCGAGCTAGTGAACAACTTCAAGTAGATAGCAAGCGCACTAGGCGTGCGGACAAGAAATATACGGAGTTCTCAGAACCGATCAGCACGGTTATGTCCAAAGTCCAAGACCTTCCGTTCTTCAAATGGCCATCCAAAATGGTGGGACCTCCCGACACGAGGAGACGGGATAGGCGGTGCGAGTATCATAAAGACCACAGCCATGATACAGGGAGTTGTTATGCATTGAAGGATCACCTAGAGGAATTGGTATAAGATGGTCGGCTTAAGAAGTACGTCCAAAGAGACAACTCGACAAAAGCAGTAGCTTTACGGAAGGATTCACCTCCACTCGGTGTAATCCATATGATATACAGCTTGCCGACGTCATCCACAGTACATACAATTCAGTCACATCCTGGCCCCCAAAAGCAAATCATACCAGCAAAACGGCCCCATAAAGCTCCAAACATTACCTTCGACGATTCTGATTTGATCGGTGTAACACTCCCCCACATTGATTCATTGGTCATCGAACTACGCGTAAACCAATTCACCGTTGAACGCGTTCTCGTAGACTAGGGGAGTACTTCGGAGGTTATGTATTACAAGACCTTCATCAAGCTCGGGTTCACCGAGTCGGACCTATCTCCGTCTCCTTATCCATTATTCAGCTTCAATGCTAATTCGCAGTACCCGTTGGGCAGAATCACACTACCAGTTCGTGCGGACTCCTAATCAGTGGATATGGAATTCTTGGTTGTCAAGCTTCCTTTGCCGTATAATCTCATTATGGGGCGAACTTGGTTGCATACCATACGCGCCGTGCCAAGCACCTATCATCAACTGCTCTGCGTCTCGACAGAGCATGGGATTGAGCAAATCCGTGGTTCCCAGAAATCGGCACAAGCATGCTATCTCCTTGCTGCTAAGACACCAAAAGAGTTAGAAGTAAATTCAATTGAGGTGCTGGATCGAGAGAGCCTCAATGATGTTGGGCGACTCCCAAGTGAAAAGGCCACGGAAGCCCTGGATCGAGTTAACATTGATGGGAATCTAGACAGGTTCTTCATGATCGGCGCCTCCCTGAATGAAGCCGACAGACAGCAGCTAATTTCCTTCTTACTCTGCAACCTTGATGCATTTGTTTGGACACCATATGAGATGTCGTGTGTGGATCTGTCTGTTTCACAGCACTGTTTAAACGTTGACCCTAAATGTAAGCCAATTATTCAGAAAAGCCGGCGGTCAGCCGTAGAAAACACTGCTGTTGTTGTTATGGAAGTTGACTGGTTGCTTGATGCCGGGGCAATCTGGGAAGTTACCTATCCTACATGGCTGTCGAACACTGTGGTTGTCAAGAAGAAAAATGGGACTTGGCGTGTTTGTGTGGATTTCACGGACTTCCTCGATGCCTATAGAGGCTACCATCAAATTGCCATGCATCCAGAAGACCAAGACAAAACTGCATTCCTCACCCCAAGAGGGACCTATTGCTATAAGGTAATGCCTTTTGGGGTGAAGAATGCGAGGGCAACGTACCAAAGACCAGTCACTGCCATGTTCAAGGAGCAACTCGGCCGAACTATGGAAGTGTACATTGACGATATGGTGGTTAAGTCTAAAGAAGAGCAAACTCATCTGGCCGATCTGGAAGAGACATTCAGTATTTTACACAAGTACAAAATAAAGCTGAATACTTCCAAGTGTGCATTTGGGATCAGATCTGGCAAATTCCTTGGCTACATTGTCAACCACCGAGGAAGCGAAGCCAACCCAAGGCAAATCACAGCAATCCTGGAACTCGGCTCCCCTCGTTCACTGAAACAGGTTCAAAAGTTGATGGGGATGGCCGCCGCACTCAACAGGTTCATCAATCGTTCCACAGATCGCTGCCGATAATTCTTTCATACTCTACGGTAGGGTAAGGCTTTTGAATGGACCTTCGAGTGCGAAGCCTCTTTTAACGGCCTGAAGACCTACCTCCGATCAGTTCCACTCTTGACAACACCTTCGGTAGGTGACCCGCTCATTTTGTGTCTGGCAGTTTTCGACTGGGCCGTCAGCGCTGTACTGTTAAAGGAAGAGCTTGGGAAGCAGCGACCAGTGTATTATGTGAGCAAGGCAATGGTTGACGCCGAAACACGTTACCTTCTGTTGGAAAAACTCATCCTGGCACTCGTCATGGCAGCAAGAAAGCTGATGCATTACTTTCAGGGGCATACCATCGGGGTACTAACGGACCACCCCTCTGGTCGGTACTCCTTAGTGCAGAAGCATCAAGGCGCGTTTCAAAGTGGGCTCTTGAACTCTACCAGTACGATATTCAGTTTCTGCTTAGAACCTCAATCAAGGGGCAAGTGCTTGCCGACTTTGTGACCGAATTTCCTGGG